TTTTTTTTTTTTGGGAGATTTGGTTGTTGAAAAAGAAGAATTTTTTTTCGATTTACATGTAATATTATTTAATGAAAAATTGTATGGTTAAAAATAGGAAAAAGAAAAAGAAAAATTAATTACTCTTTATTTGCTGCAACACATTTATACAATTTAAATATATTTTCATTTTTCCTTACTTGTACTCAACAAAGTCGACTAAGTACATGTTGTACATATATTACTATCAAAATCCATAAAGTTAATTTTTTTGCATATTATCTTTTTCATTATTTGGTTCGAGAACATGATAATAATTTATTACCCCACAAGTGGTTCATATCTAATTTAAGGAGTTGTTTGATGATATTTTTGATAAAAGTTTTAATAGATTTTGATAAAAATTAATGAAATATGCAGTTGAAAAGTTGACAAAATTTGTAGACACCATTAATTTGTGAATAAAATTAATTGTTGTCTTTAATTTTGATTTTTAGCAACTTTAAGTGTAACAAACAAACACTAAATAAAAGATGTAAATGGACCATATAATATTCTATAGGAAAAAAAATTTGGAGTTGGAGTTCCCATTTTTGGGAATATAGCATTTGCATCTCATTTACGTTTTAACCACGTAATCCCCAATCTTTTACAAATTGGCTAATAAATCCCCCAATTGGATGAAGTCCCAAAATTATTCTACTGAGCACATAAGGTGGATATGTAATTTTCTAACGAAATATTTTGGTCTTCCATCAATACACCTGAAGAAGAAAGAAAGCTCTCTATACCTGATGCTAGCCCACTATTTTTAGTCACTCCTTTATTTCAGCCTCACTTTCATGAACCAAGAGTCGATAATTGGGGGACGCTAGCAGGTGGTGGTTGAAATGGGAGAGTTTGGGTGGGGTGCCCACCGTGGAAATAACTAACGAATTATCTAATTGAGATTTTATGAGCTTATATACGAAAGCTTATACGTAAATATTTTATTAACACACATATTTATTACATCCTGTGCAACTTTCCATAGAATACAAATAGGTACCTAACTTTTAGGCATTGCAAAAGTTAGATAGTATACAATATCGCACAAGCTAAAATTTTACAAATTTGTGATATGCTTCTCTTAGACAGATTTTGCTGATAGCTATCTTTACATACAACCAATCCATTATGATTTTCCAGAACTTGAAAAATGCAATCCTCCACGAGTGATTGAGAACGAAAGTTCCGCATACACTGCAAAATCCAAAAACGGACCCAACTACCACACTAATGTAAAATCCATCATTGATAAGCTTATCCTCCTCTTGGTTTTTCAACCCATCAACATTAAAACCGATCTTTGGGACTTGAACAATTTCGTCTTCTAGACAAGCATTTGTAAGTGGAAGGCCACAAAGTCCAGGGTTTTCCTCAAATGTAGAAGCATTGAAAGTTTGTAAATGAATGCTTTGTGGAATTTTGCCCGACAAGTTATTGTATGACAAATCTAACACTCCAAGTTGATCCAGTTGAGAAACACCAGTAGGAATACCACCAGAGAACTGGTTTCTCAAAAAATCAAGAAAATCCAAAGACCTTAATAGTTCAAAATTTGGAGGAAGGAATCCAGATAGGTTGTTTCTTGAAATGTTCAATCCAACTAGCATTACAAGACTGGTAATTTTTGCAGGAACATCACCTACTAAATTATTGCTTGAAAGATCAATGAGTTTCACCAAATTAAGAGTATTTATGTATTTGGCCTCCTTTCCTTTCCATGTTACAAATGCACTCTCGAAGCCTCCATAGTATCGAAGACGAAATGCCGTATCAAACTCAGAATCCATTTGAGTCATAGCAGCAAGATTGTTTAGTCATTTTGTTATACCACCAGAAATCTTGTTTAAAGAAAAGTCCAACACTTGTAAGTGTGCAAGATGACACAAGTTTGAAGGAATATTACCGAAGAACTCGTTGGACCTGAGACTGAGGAAGACCAATTCAGCCCAAGTATCTCCCAGCCATATAGGTATATTACCATTCAACTTATTTTGGGAAAGATCAATAAAAGTCAAGAAAATACAATTCCTCAATGATGTTGGAATTTCTCCCGTGAAACTGTTGTTTTGTAAGTGCAATGATGAGGTGACATTTAGTGAAGGGATCTTTTCGGACAAATTATTATGCGCCAAATTAAGATATGCCAAATACGGTAGGTTTACAAAACAATTCTGAAGCTGTCCAGAGAGTAAGTTATTCAAGAGGTCAAGATATGCCCAATAGTAACTAGTTTCATTGCATAAATTGCTAATTGACCCAGAAAATTCGTTATTCGATAAATCCACTATAGTTCCATTCGGAGACAAAATTGGTAATGAACCATTAAAATGATTAAAGCTCGGATCTATGGAATCAAAAGTAGAGAACTTTGATGACAAATTAGGAATGACACCATGAAAATTGTTTTGTGATACATTTAAATTTGATAATTTTGGACTTTGCTCCCAAAACCAATCAGGGAAGGTGTCTGAAATTTCAGCTTTAGAGATATCAAGATACTCTAATCTCGTTTGTGTTCTAAGCCATGTGGGGAAATGTGGACCTATTTTTCAGTCTGCTAAAATTACATGTGTCAATTGAAAAGGAGGATTTCATCCTAAGCTGATATTGAATGAGAGACCTGGGATTGAAGACAAGCCCAACATTTGTAATTGGGAAAGATTAAAGAAATGGGA